TGGGGTCTCCATGACACTTAAAAAATGGGGTCGTTACCCAAAATAGTGGGGTCATTGACCCATTTTCAAAGGGTCATGGAGACTCCAGGTAGTCCTTTTTGGCCCATTTTTTGTTCGTATCCTGCAGGGGCTTCAAGCCACAGATTCGCAACCGAGACCCGCCCGTTTTGCGAGACGAGGAGTCCAACGCGACCTTCCAAGAGCTCATGGCCGCCCAAAGCGGCGCTGAAAACGCTGACCCCTTGGCCCGGGGAGCCCAGGGCCGACCGCTGAGCCTGGGGAACGGGAAGGGGTTCCCTAAAAACCGGCAAAAAGGATTAGTCTAGCCCTTCTTTGGGGTGGAGAGGGGGGAGCCTGGAGGGGGGGGGGGTAATTGTGTTGGGGTGGGGGGGGGGAGACCTGTTTACTATTATTTAGTTCTTTCTTCAAAGTCAACCAAACAAAATTCCCCTTGAAGTTCCTCTTTTGTTTGGAAGGAAGAGGGTGTCCTCTTTGAATTGACCAAAAAAAGGGGGTATCCTTCTTGTCTTTGTTGTTGGGAAGGGTTTCCCTTGAAGCCTAGCTCCTCTTGGCTCCCCCAACAGATCAGCCTGGGGCCTGGGTCGCCAAGCTGGCGGGAAAGAACCGCAACTGATCCAGCCACCATGAAGCCCAGGCGGTTTCCCCAGGCCCGGACCCTTCTACCCCGGAACCCTACCCCAAAACCGCCCCCTGCCGCCCACTTCGCACGGAAATCCACAGGCCCAGTTCCTGACGGATCCCGCGGCGGTCTTTCAATGGACGCAGGGTCCCGACAAGACGCAGCGACTGGCGGAGATGATGCGCCTCAGATGAAGGGGATGCAGGGCTTGCGCCTGTTGACTCCCCTTACACAGACACACTTGCCCAGAGCGAAGCAAGCTTTGGACAACTTGTGTTTTCTTCTTTTTCTAGTCATTTGGGCAACGCAGCTGGCACATGTAGGTTTGGAGGTGACATGAGTAAAGAGGCCAACCTCAGGGTTCCCTATATACCCCCTTAAGGAACGCGGAAGGTGATTCGTTTAAACGAACCCATAGGTGTTTCCCTTCGGGGCCCCGAACATTCAAAAGGAAAAACACACGAGCATGTTGTTTGGAGAATGTCTAAGCTCCCTCCAACTGGGCAGGCAGATGTGGGAAGAAGCTTTCCTCTTGGGGAGCCTCATCCATCTCTATGATTGGAATGATGGTAGCTTAGACAGGGTTCCTCAAACACCACTTGCTTTACAAGGTTTACAAGGCTCAGCCGGCAACAGGGTTTGGTGTTTTGGGCATTATGTTTATCAACTAGCCCAACTGCATCCTGAAAAGTTGCTTTTGGGTTGCCCAAAATCTTACCGGCGATGCAAATGGTTTTGCGAGTCCTGGTGTTTTAGTGAGGGGACGGAGGGCAAACAAGATGGGGCTACCTGTTTAGCAGCTAGTGCAACGGCTGGAAGAAGCTCGTCAAGCTGCCCACGGATGGGTGCCAAGCACTTGGACCAGCGCGAGGTTTTCTGTGGCTGCTGTTGGCCTTCTGGTCTTCACCAACCGGGCTGGGTTCACATGTGGTAGCATGTTGTATCCTTGTTCTTGACACAGTCCTAGCTGGTCTAGGGCTGAATGTGGACGCCAGGCTTTTGGGAGCTTGGGGCACCCAACAGGTTCACCTTGAAGCGGAGCACTTTCTCTTGCTTTCGAGCAGCCCCGCATGTTCCAAAGGCGAGGCTGTGCCCGCCCGAGCAACATCGAACTCCGCCGGGAATGGGGGGAGGGATGGGCAGGGTGCTGCAATTATCATGCTAGCCGGCAAACCTTCCGGCTAACCTTGGTTGTGACCCACTTTAGACGACTTATATGGTTGATCATGGCCATAGTTGGCCACTCAGTGACGCACAGTGCCACTTTGAATAGCGGATGTTTAACCCGCTCAGTAAGTAGATTGTTGCCATGACTCCTGGGAATCATCCCTCAGTTGCCTCAGTCATAACCATGGTGCCGCTTATTTTGTGGCGAGCTCACTGATTTGGGGGTAAAGCGAGCGTCATGCAGGTCCTTTTTCTTTCGAATCATTTCAAGTGGGGATTTTGGGTGATTTGGCCAGATTGCATTAAATTCTCGGTGCCACAACCACCAGAGTTCAGGTCATCCGTTGGAGGGGCCACTTCCATTGGAAGGCTTAGACCTCAAGAAAGAAATCCCTACTTGAGGTCGCAAGATTCTTGGGGTTGCACAATTTGGGTATGAGTCAAAATTGAGCCATCGGGATATGGACCGCAGGTTTTTTAGCCCTTGGTTCCATTTACCAAGACCCCCGTTTTGGGTACCGGTTCCTATTTTGACCCGAGGCAGCAGTCCCCACTTTTCCAGCAGCTGCGCAACTTCGGCAGCGAGGTCCTGGAGCGGCGCCAGGCGCAGCGCTGGCTATGGGTCGAACTCCAAATCGGTCAGCCCCCAGTGAACATCCGATTCAATCCAACCACTAAAATAGGAAGCCTAAAATGGGTGGTGAATTCACCTACCAACCAAAATGGGATCCCATTGGTTTTGACCCACAGCCAGTTGTTTCAGGCAACCCTTCGTTGGTGGCTTGGATTGGCTTGAGGGTAAATGGGAAAGCAGTCCCTAGCCACCAAACCACCAATCCAATTCAGGGGGAGGCTGATTGTTTGCGACAATGTTTCCAGTACTTGAATGAGCGCTGCAACCTGACCTACAACAATCAGTGCAAGAAGGCGGTGTTTAAAGCCGCCAAGAAGAGAAATATAGGACCCCTGTATTGCGGAAAACCGAGAAGGGACACCGCCCGATTTGGATTTGGGATGGGTCACCGAAATATTTCAGACACCATGCGCGGCTTCCCTTTGGGCCCTGGCCCAATGATCTGTAAAATCACGGGGGTTGGAAAAACACAACACAAGTCTCCGATTTTGAGAACCAGAAACAGTTCAAACATAATGAGATCCCAGGGTAAAACCCACCCAACAACACATCACCCCGAAACGGGTTCTGCGACTGGTAATCCAGTTGCCAAGGAACTCGGATAGAACAAGGAAGCTCTTATCGTTGGTGGGGTGATTCCACTTCACCAAACAGAGGGGACAAAAGCGGTGCTTCTGAACAGCTGAAATGTGTTCACTTCAGACATGTTTGCGTCCCAATTCACACAGGGCTCGCCCACATGTGGGAGTTGAGTACCCCAGGTGGCGCAGCTTCCTGCGGGCGCGCTGGTGGAGCTGAGGGGCCTCAGCGCAGCAGCCTACAATGGCCTGGTGGGCGAGCTGGCCGAGATCTCAGGGCTCCCCTTGGCTTTGTGTCTTCCGAGTCTCTGGACTTGAGCAACCTTTTGGGAAGATGAAAGTGGTATTTGAAAAGACTAGGTATGGTTGGCCAAGCTCAGGAAGTGTTTGGTGTTTCTTTGAGACTTGCGGCATTCTGCGTCGGGCGTGCGAAGCAGAAAGTCTGGCTCCCCCAGCTAGGTGCCCTTTTCTCTCCCCTTTCTTGATTGGCAGGGTTCCCCTACTAAACTAGACGATTCAGAAATTATTCTAAGCTCTCTACTGGAGGTCCTAGTTTGGCTTTGTGTCTTCCTGCGTTTCTGGACTTTAGCCAACTGTCAGAGACACAGTCAGTTCTCGTGCAAAGGAAGTGCCTTGCCACCCGGGTTTCTGCACCACCTGGTCCAAACCCAACAGATCCACCTCCATCTGCAGCTCATTTGACTGGCGCTTGGTATCCTCCAGGACCCTTGCAGGTACCTGTAAAATGGCGGGTTTTCTGGAGACATATCCCTTTTGAGCCAACCTGAAAAGGCCTGCCCTCAGGGAAAACACCTCACTTCCTCGGTGGATTGTACCCAATCTTTTTCATTTGCCACTAACATGGACTGCCCAAAAAAAGTGGCTAAAGCTGGGAAAGTACTTGCCTGGGTGTACCTGAGAACTGACTGTGTGATTGTTTCTTGAAGCTCCCTTCAACCATCCAATGATGCAAAGACAGTCATCATATACCTTGGAGGGTGTAGCAGTTTTTGGCTCCAAACGTCACCACCACCACCACGACCACGACCATCGCCCGCCTCCAGCGAGCAGCAAGGCCGACGCCAGCCCCGCCGAGCGGGATCAACACCCTGGCCGGCGCATCGTCGAGCTGGGGGAGGGAGTCGAGGACTCCACGAGGCTCGCGGTGCATCCGAAGAACCTCATCTTCCCTCGGCACAAGCCGGGGGACGCCGCACCCTGGCGCTGGCTGCAAGTCGGTTTTTTTTTCTTTTTCGAGTGATATATGCCTCCTCATGTATTTCTGGCTCATCCTATATGGAGATGAAGGGAACAATGGCGTTCTTCGTTGTTTTTATTTTGTTGCAAGCTTGACTGGAAGGCAAGGTTTCGTCTTCTTGAACACGCTTCCAAAGGCAGGCCTGGAGGCCGCACGGGAATTGCTCCAGACCTGCCCATGCCAGACATGGACAACTCATTGTAAACTCCGCGCAAGGATTGCCCTCAGAATGTGGAAATTCATGCATCAGAAAGCACTACTCCGAGTTTTGTGAGTTTTGGGGATTTCACAAAAACTGATGCCGTCACTTTGAAAAGCGTGTCTTCGTACAAACACATAATTTGCTAAACCAGGCAAACTTGTGCAGCCCGATCCAGTGAGAGTGGACCGCTTGGCTTGCAGAGGCCACATGTGTTTTCAGATCTTGAATGCTTGCTCCTTTGTTCGTTGCCGGCAGTGTTCATCCTGGACTTGGTTGCAACAGTGCTTACCCAATTTGGATGGGTGCAAAGCATATGTCTTTGAACATTGTCGTGGGGACAGAAACGCATGATTATCGCGAGGTTCCATGTATGTGAGCTGTAACTGCAGTTTGGTCTTGACCAACCCTGAGGCATTTAGTGTGAATTGACGAAGGCTTTTTTTCACCCCACAGCCGCACTTAACACCCGAGTACTTGGCCGAAACTCGCATGATATTTTGCCTCAAGTCCGTTGGTTCATTTAGCGGTCCGACAAAGGCCTTGCGGTCTCGCAGATGTTTCCTTTCTTAGTCCTTTACTTTATTTCAGGATGGAAGTATGTTTTAAGCCATTATTGGCTGAACAGATTTCTTTGGTTTCCCTTACGGAAAACCGGCCTTGTCTCAGCCGTCGCCCAACCCTGCGTCAGAAAGCCGTTTTCACCGTTTGTCTTGGGTAGGCCCAAAAGTTGGTTTACCAGCTGATTTAGACGATCCAAATATGTTTGTCCAAGGAACCCTGTTCCAGTTGGTCCTCTGAAGCTGACCACTGACCCAGGTCTTGTTTGCTGCAGAGTCCAAATTTTTGGGTGATGCTGTGGACAAAATCCATTTCTCACCAGTGATGGATGAATCGAATCCCTGTGAACGCTCGGATAGACCACCCGGGTCCTGGAAGACTTTCAATGGACTGTCTCGTTATTTCCATTGCAACGTGGACAGGTGCCCTCCCACCAAGTAAGGTGAACGTCTGACAGGGAAATCTTCCCTTGAACAGGAAAATGATTCAAACCAGGCCCCCCCCCCCCCAACACCGAACGATGCCACTTTAATGTTGACCCAGGATTAATAAACCGGTCCCATTATTAGGGGGCTGTTCCCTGCAAAAGATCCCCACTACAAGGGGACACCTCCCATGAATCAACCAGGGGTTCATTCATCTGGAATTAGCTTCAGTCGGTGGGAGGGCGTTTACCATCCCCTGGTCGGCGCCCGGCGAGTCGGGGCTCAGGTCACCCTGGCTGCGGAGTTTGAGCCCGGCAGCGAGCACGAGGGTTTGGAGGGCCGCGCGGGGGTGATCTCCAGCCTCACGGAGGAGGCCGGATCCCAGTTGGTTTTGTCGGTCCCCCAGTGCCCTTTCTCACCCCTTTTTTAGTTGGGAGGGTTCCCCTACTAAAATCGACTAGAGAAGAAAGACGGTACCCTTATGCCAACCTCTATACTGGGAATCTAGGACTAATGGAGATAGTTTCTCTTTTTTCCCTGGGAACGAAAAAGCAAATGGAGGCTGTGGCTCACAAGAAGGTGCCCAGCCTCGCACCTTGGTCAAGACTAAAAACAACCCCTGCGGTTAAGTTTGGAGCCACGCCCACACAACAGGTTCCTACAAAGGGGACCGTTTGTCTGCGGGGGCCCTGTTTAAGGTCACCCTAAATTGGTGGTTTGGACTTTTCTTATTATTTGAGCCCCTGGTTCTTGAGGATGGCAAATGGGAAACCACCTAACCTCCAAACCGCCAATCCAAACCATCAACTAGAGGGAAGCCGACTATTTTTTGTTGGGGGGTTTGGGTGGGTTTGTGCTTGATGCCCGGGCTTGGAGCAGTAACCCAAGCGATCAAAGGGCTCTCAGAACAGATGTGTGACCTACTTGAATCATTGAAGCAGGGTCGCAGAAAGTCTGGGTCCCCAGTAGTGCCCTTTGACCCTTTTTTGGGGAGGGTTCCCCTACTAAAATCGACTACAGAAGAATGTTGGTACCCTTATTCTAACCTCTCAATCTCTGGAGGACCTCGGTAGATGGGATGGTTCCCCTTGACCTTTGAAGGGCAAACAGGGGAACCCCCTGTCAGGTGCCCACGTTAGTGAGGGTTAGGGTACCCCTTCTTGGGCTTGCCTTTGAGTCGTCCTTGGAGGGTTTCGCCTTCAAGCGCGTCCGTAGGAGCGAGGCCTGGGCTTCAGCGAGCAGACGGGGGGCCTGGTGGTGGATGTCCTCTCCCTGCTGCCGGGGGGGCCGGTGCTGGACCGCGTGTGGCTGTGGCCGGAGCACCTGGCGCGCAGAAACTTCCAGGTCGGGGACGGCGTGCGGATGCGGGACCTGGAGGCCCATGGGGCTGTGGGACTTTCAGGTGGTTGATCACTCGGGGCTTATGGATTTTCAGTGGGGTCACTCGGATTTTTTTTTTATCCAACCACTTCCGTGCTACTCTTGGAATCCCTTAGTTTTATGGGGGGTTAGTCTTTGGGAGGCCCTTTTTGTTGTATCACAGAGGTGGAGTCCATTTCCCACAGCCCTGGAGGGAATGGATCCATGCGCCAAAGAAGAGGGACAAGAAGAAGAAGAACTGGCCGATTTGGGGGGAGAAGAACAAATGGATGGAATGGGTTCACCTTGTGGAAATGTGTGGCTTGGATTGGTCTGGGGATTTGAATGGTGCTTTTGAAGCCAAATGGGAAAGGTGCCCCGAACCACCACCAAACAACCACCTATCGTGGGGTGCCCGTTTTTTGCAGCAGAACTGGGCTCGGAGGAGGGCTGACTGGTAGGGGAAGCTGATATCGCAGCTTGGCCAGATGGATATGGCCAGCCGGAATCTGGAATGCCTCCAAACACCTCGCAAACGCGAAACTCAGGGAAGCCCAAAGCAGGGTGCCTGAAACCGAAGTTCTGACATGTTTGTGCACAGGCCTTTCTCGAACTTCGGGGGCAGATGTTGGACTTCTGACTTCTGGAGGTGTCTTTTCCCTTGAAGCACGGCAAGCAAGCAGAGCAAGCTGTTTGTTTTCCGCCAGCTTGAATTTCAGCCCACCTTGGTAACTGCCTGGAGTCTCCACGACCCTGAAAAAATGGGGGTCATTACCCAAAATACTGGGGTCATTGACTCATTTTTTAAGGTCATGGAGACTCCAGGTGTGGCAACCCGCACCTTCCGACGGCACAGGGCAAAAAAGCAAGCATCCCTTCAATAATTCCGGGACATCTCCCTGTTAATCATCTGGTGTTGATTAATATGGGGTCAACATGATTCAAATTGCTTGCCGCCTGCTTGTTAACGACTGTGTTGTGCTCCTTTCCCGGATCCGGAGGCAGACAGCAGCCTGAACGGGCTGCCAGCTACTGTAGAAGCGCCGGGCAGCTTGGCAGATTCGGCGGCTGGGCCCTTTGAGGACTCCCGCAAAAATGCCCAAAGCCGCCCACGAGAAGAAACGTATTTGGGCAAGAAGATTGCGATCTGGCAGTACAACGAGCTTAGCCTTATGAATTTGCCCTGAGCACAAGGGGGATGCGGCCCCAACGGCGTTCATGATCTCATTTCCGCTGGGAAGGAGGCTTCTAGGGCTTGCCAGTTGGGGTTGGGGCAAAAAAAACCTCCCAGCACAGCCTCTGCCGTTTATGTAGTCTGGTGTGGGAAATGCACGAGATATGTTCCTGGTACACCAGTCATACCTTACCTTTACCCATGTTTCTCAGGATGGCGGCCAACTCACGCAAAGGACAAACACGGACATGACTTCTTGAGGGTACCCTCTGTTGTTTTCACAAGGGAAACGAAAGGAACCCTCGCAATTTTCGGGGTCTGCCTGCAATGGAAGGGAGCCTTTGCGGAGCTGTGCGGGGTGCCTTTCGGAGCTCGAGGAGAGGCTCAAAGGAATGTCTTTGGACACCGCCGGTCAAATTGCCACTGGGTATGGGCCAAAAATAGACCACCGGAAAAAGACCACAGGTGTTAGTCCTTGTTTCTGTTTACCTGCCAGTTTGTGTACCTATGTTACATATGTTTGACCCGCGGCCAACTTCAGGGAGAAGTCCGGTGATTTCTGGGAAACAGCTCCCGCACTAGGCACTCGCCCCTGGAGCTATGTGGTCGTCTTAGATGATGGCCGACGGCTGGAGGTCGGAGAGCGCGGAAGGCTTTTTCAGTTGGGTAAGAACCCAACTTGGATGTTCGACTCCAGGGGTTGATTCCCCATTCTTTTCGATCATCGTTCTTTCAAGAACCTGCCGCTTTGCCTGGGTGTCTGGAGGTTTTTTGAAAAGAAATGATCCCTGGAAAGAGTGGGGAAGGTACCCCTAGATGTGCATGTACTCTAGAGGAATCTCGGAATCTCCTTTCGGGAATCGGACCCCTGTTTTGAGTTCCATGTGAATTGGTAGGGGAGCCCTGGTTAGGGAACTAGTTCCCCCAGTCATAGCCCCAAGAGGCCGTGCGGAAAAGAACCAAGAATGACGGCGGATTGATCAACCGACTTGGTGGGTCAGGGATTATGGATTAGGATTGGGCAACCATTGTTTTTGAGCAGCCCAGATTGTGAGAAGTACACTTTTGTTTGAAAGCTTCGACGCTTTAGAGGCCCTGCGTTGTGTGCGTTTTCTCGGCTGCCGGACCGGCCACATGTTTGGGACCCGGACGCCAACGATGGAAGAACTGTTTGGAACCCGTCTCCCCTTTGGGTAGCCATGCTCTACGCACTTGCCCAAAGCCGACCTCTTGACCTTTGGGTTTCTGTGATTTGGTCCACGTCTTAAACTTTGAGTGATGACCCCGAAAGGTGATCGCCTTTTATTTGCAGGTCCTTTTGGGCAACTGAGTCTAGCATGGTCAGGGTCCCTTCTTGCTTCGGTTCTACCAGTTGGAATCTATCACTACTGGAAATATGAATATTTTTTGCAGGGGACTCTACTGCAAATGGAAGTCTAGAAGGGTCAACCCCACCATGGGGTCCCTTTTTGCACCTTTTCGTTTCTACCGGGGCTGAGACTTCCAGGTGAAGTGGCGCAACCTGCTGCTTAGCAGCTGCTCCGTGGCAACTGCTGCCGGCTTGGGCTGAGAGAAAAAGGTCAAATCGCCGCGCCGGCGGGGTCTCACAGCGCCCAAACCTCCAGTTGCCTGTTTTTCCCCAAACAGTTTACTGTGAGGGGTTCTAAATTCATTTAAGGTGGCTCGCCTGTTGCCAAGCCCTAGCCTGGATGCCTGGCACAGCTCTCTGGGTGGACGGGTTCATTTGTCTCCCTGTGTCTCCCTTCATTTGTCTCCCGTTGTCTCCCCGCCTGAATGCCTGGCACGGCTCTCTGGGTGGACGCGTTCGTTTGTCTCCCTGGGTTCACTTGTCTCCCTTTGTCTCCCTTCATTTGTCTCCCGTTGTCTCCCAGCCTGGATGATCCAGTCTGGGTGGACGGGTTCATTTGTCTCCCTTTGTCATTTGTCTCCCGTTGTCTCCCAGCCTGGATGCCTGGCACGGCTCTCTGGGTGCACGGGTTCATTTGTCTCCCTTTGTCTCCCTTCATTTGTCTCCCAGCCTGGATGCCTGGCGCGGCTCTGGTTCATTTGTCTCCCTTTGTCTCCCTTCATTTGTCTCCCGTTGTCTCCCAGCCTGGATGCCTGGGTGGACAGATTCACTTGTCTCCCTTTGTCTCCCTTCATTTGTCGCCCGTTGTCTCCCAGCCTGGATCTGGCACGGCTCTCTGGGTGGACGGGTTCATGCGTCTCCCTTTGTCCCTTTCATTTGTCTCCCGTTCTCTCCCAGCCTGGATGCCTGGCACGGCTCTCTGGGTGGACGGGTTCATTTGTCTCCCTTTGTCTCCCTTGATTTCTCCCGTTGTCTCCCAGCCTGGATGCCTGGCACGGCTCTCTGGGTGGACGGGTTCATTTGTCTCCCTTTGTCTCCCTTCATTTGTCTCCCGTTGTCTTCCAGCCTGGATGCCTGGCGCGGCTCTCTGGGTGGACGGGTTCATTTGTCTACCTTTGTCTCCCAGGATGTCTGGCACCCCTTTGTTTCCCTTCATTTGTCTCCCGTTGTCTCCCAGCCTGGATGCCTGGCACTGTTTTTCCCCAAACAGTTTACTGTGAGGGGGTCTAAATTCATTTGGGTGTATTGTTTCATACAAGCTCCAGCCTGATGCCTGGCACAGCCTTTGGGTGATGGCTCATTTGTCCCCCTGTGTCTCCCTTCATCTTGTCTTCCGTTGTCTCCTGCCTGGATGCCTGGCACGGTTTTCTGTGGATGGCTCGTTTGTTCCTGGGTTCTTACTAATATAGCCTTTTTGTTCTCTTCATTTGTCTCCTGTTGTTCTGCAGCCTGATGATCCAGCTCGTGGATGGGTTCATCGAATCCCCTTATTGGCCTGTCTCCCGTTGGTCCCGCAGCCTGGATGCCTGGAGTACGGTTTCTCTGTGACGGGTTCATTTGTCTCCCTTTGTCTCTTTGAGTGGATTGGCCACCCCGTGAGGGGTTCTAAATTCATTTAAGGTGGCTCGCCTGTTGCCAAGCCCTAGCCTGGATGCCTGGCACAGCTCTCTGGGTGGACGGGTTCATTTCCCTGTGTCTCCCTTCATTTGTCTCCCGTTGTCTCCCCGCCTGGATGCCTGGCACGGCTCTCTGGGTGGACGCGTTCGTTTGTCTCCTGGGTTCACTTGTCTCCCTTTGTCTCCCTTCATTTGTCTCCCGTTGTCTCCCAGCCTGGATGATCCAGTCTGGGTGGACGGGTTCATTTGTCTCCCTTTGTCATTTGTCTCCCGTTGTCTCCCAGCCTGGATGCCTGGGTACGGTTTCTGGGTGATGGTTCATTTGTTCCCCTTTAACTTTCATCTTGTCTCTCAGCCTGATGCCCAAGGCTCAGTTCATTTGTCTCCTTTGTCTCCCCTTCTTCATTTGTTCTCGTTGTTCTGCTGCATTGTGTTCTGTTTGTTCATTTGCTTCCTTTGTCTCCTTCATCTATCGCCCGTTGTCTCCCAGCCTGGATGCCTGGCACGGGCTCTCTTGGTGGACGGGTCATTTGTCTTCATTTGTCTCCCGTTGTCTCCTAGCCTGGATGCCTGGCACAAGCTCTCTTGGTGGACGGGTTCATTTCTCTCTCTTTGTCTCCTTTCATTTGTCTCCCGTTGTCCAAGCCTTGATGCCTGGCACGGCTGTCTTGGTGGACGGGTTCATTTGTCTCCCTTGTCTCCCCTTCATTTGTCTCCACGTCTTCCTGCGCCCGATGCCTGCGTGCTCTTCTTGGGTGGACGGTTCATTTGTCTACATCACCAATCTGGCGATGCCCGGCACCTTTGTTTCTTCATCTGTCTCCTGTCTCTCAGCCTGATGCCTGGTACTGTTTTTTTGTGACGCAATCACTTTTCTCCTTTGTCTCCCTTTTCATTTGGCCTCCTGTTGTCTCCCAGCCTGGATGTCTGTCACGGCTCTCCAGGCGGACGGATTCACTTGTCTCCCTTGGTTCCCCTTCATTTGTCTCCCATCTCTGTGGGTGGACGGATTCATTTGTTTCCCTTTGTCTCCCTTTATTTGTCTCCCATTGTCTCCCAGCCTGGATGCCTGGCACGGCTCTCTGGGTGGACGGATTCATTTGTCTCAAGTTGTCTCCCAGCCTGGATGTGTGGCACTCACGCTCCGCGGTTTCCTTCACTTCCCGCGGTTCTGTCCTTTTGGCGGGGTCTGGTTTGCCTTCGGCTTTGGCCCTGGCTTCGGTCATTCCTTGTCTTGTGGATGTTGGGGACAGGGTCCTCCTCTGTCTGCCCTTCATCTGGACTTCGATTTTGCTTGGGCTCGTGGCGGGTCGTCTTCCTTGTCTATCGTTGGCTACACCCTGTCTGTTCGTTCAGTGCCTCGTTATCAGTTGCGGTCCCGAGCTGACGAGAGCGGTGCGCTGCGGTGCGCGGCTTCAGCTACGAGAAGGCTCTGTTAACCCCCCGGTGAAACAAACGTGAATCACGCTGGAGTTAAATCCTCTATCGATTCTTCGAGGATGTTCAACGAACCTTACGCTGAGATACCCAGCGGTGCTCTTGGCACCTGGGGTTGTCCCGGCTCTCCCGGCGGACGGGTTCATTTGTCTCCCTCTCCCTCCATTTGCCTGACGGATTCATTTGTCTCCCTTTGTCTCCCTTTATTTGGCCCCGGCTGTCTCCCAGCCTGGACGCCTGTCACGGCTCTCTGGGGGAGGGGTTCATTTGTCTCCCTTTGTCTCCCTTCATTTGTCTCCCGTTGTCTCCCAGCCTGGATGCCTGGCACGGCTCTCTGGGTGGACGGGTTCATTTGTCACCCTTTGTCTCCCTTCATTTGTCTCCCGTTGCCTCCCAGCCTGGATGCCTGGCACGGCTCTCTGGGTGGACGGGTTCATTTGTCTCCCTTTGTCTCCCTTCATTTCCCTTCATTTGTCTCCCGTTGTCTCCCAGCCTGGATGTCTGGCACGGCTCTCCAGGCGGACAGATTCACTTGTCTCCTTTTGTCTCCCTTCATTTGTCCCCCGTTGTCTCCCAGCCTGGATGCCTGGCACGGCTCTTTGGGTGGACAGTTTCACTTGTCTCCCTTTGTCTCCCTTCATTTGGCTCCCCTTGTCTCCCAGCCTGGATGTCTGTCACGGCTCTCCAGGCGGACGGATTCACTTGTCTCCCTTGGTTCCCCTTCATTTATCTCCCATCTCGTGGGTGGATTTGTCTCCCTTTGTCTCCCTTTATTTGTCTCCCGTTGTCTCCCAGCCTGGATGCCTCTCTGGGTGGACGGATTCATTTGTCTCCCTTTGTCTCCCTTTGTTTGTCTCCCGTTGTCTCCCAGCCTGGATGCTCCTCTGGGTGGACGGATTCATTTGTCTCCCGTTGTCTCCCAGCCTGGATGTGTGGCACTCACGCTCCGCGGTTTCCTTCACTTCCCGCGGTTCTGTCCTTTTGGCAGGGTCTGGTTTGCCTTCGGCTTCGACCCTGGCTTCGGTCATTCCTTGTCTTGTGGATGTTGGGGACAGGGTCCTCTGTCTGCCCTTCCTCTGGACTTCGATTTTGCTTGGGCTCGTGGTGGGTCGTCTTCCTTGTCTATCGTTGGCTACACCCTGTCTGTTCGTTCAGTGCCTCGTTATCAGTTGCGGCCTCTCTCTGTCCTTGCTCGCATTTGGAGTCCCGAGCTGACGAGAGCGGTGCGCTGCGGCGCACGGCTTCAGCTACGAGAAGGCTCTGTTAACCCCCCGGTGAAACAAACGTGAATCACGCTGGAGTTAAATCCTCTATCGATTCGTCGAGGATGTTCAACGAACCTTACGCTGAGATACCCAGTGGTGCTCTTGGCACCTGGGGTTGTCCCGGCTCTCCCGGCGGACGGGTTCCTCTCCCTTCATTTGCCTGACAGATTCATTTGTCTCCCTTTGTCTCCCTTTATTTGGCCCCGGTTGTCTCCCAGCCTGGATGCCTGTCACGGCTCTCTGGGTGGACGGATTCGTTTGTCTCCCAGCCTGGATGCCTGGCACGGCTCTCTGGGTGGACGGGTTCATTTGTCTCCCTTTGTCTCCTTCTTGTTGTCCCTCAGCCTGGATGCCTGGCACGGCTCCCTGGTCATTCGCGGTGTATTCCGCGGGCACGCATGTGTGTTTGAGGCTCAGAAACGTGTGTTTCAGCGCGCGCGTGCGCTTGATCAAGCCACAGGCAGCATGCTGCGGATGCACGTACGAGTGCTTCAAGTAAATGATTGTGTGTTCTTGGTGTGTTCCAGCTGACCACAACGGCGCGTTCCAAGTGAACACGCACTTTTTGCATGTGACCACATGAGTGTGTTCCACGTCAGCACATGTTTGTGTTCCAGGTGAAAGCATGCGATTGTTCTGATAAAACACATATGCGATCCGGTCAAAATTCCTAGTAAGGGGTTTAGTCTACAGAGGCCACCGTCGCAGTCACTTTGTGCAGTTTTAAATGGAGGGCCATTTTTTTTTAAGAATTTTTCGTTTTTTTTAGGAATTATTTTTGTTTTTCAGGGTCGGTGGCTTTTCGGCTTTTTGGCTTTTGTGGCTTTTACGTGGGTTTTTGTGGCTTTCGTGGCTTTTCATTTCGCATCATCTGCATTCACAGTTCCTCTC